CGGGCGGTGGTGGTGGTGGACACGACGCCGCCCGAGGTGACGCTGTATGGCGCGGAGGAGGTGCACGTGCCGTATGCGACACGATATGTGGAGGCTGGGTACAGCGCACAGGATGTGCACGACGGCAATGTGACGTCGCGTGTGGTGGTGCGCGGGGCCGATGCGATTGACGTGCACGTGGCGGGGGCGTACGAGATTGAGTACTCGGTGACGGATGCGAACGGCAACACGGGTGTCGCCGTGCGCATGGTGGTGGTTGATGCGTTGTCGTCTAGCCCCAGCAATGTCAGCGCCAGCAGCGCATCAACGGGCGTCATCATTGGCGCAGCAGTTGGTGGCTTCTTGCTTGTGGTAAAAACATCCTGCGCGTTTTGATGAAGGAGCTAATGCATTTGTTCAGGTTTGCGCGATTGTGTTTGACTGGAGAAAACGTGTTGTTTTGGGCCCGTGTGGCATGATGTGACATATTCTTGACGCAACTTCACCTGCCTTCGTCTGTCTGCCCATGCGAATCTGATCACATTCGAATGCTTAGGTTGGTCTCGTCGCTTCGGCTTTGATACTGGTGCGCACAAAGAAGAGCAATCGCCGGCCTATGGTAAGAGTAAGATCTTAAGATGTCGCAACAAGTCGGGTCAGTGCCCCAAGGCAAACAATCTCCTGCAGTTTCTTCTGTATATCTGTGATTTGTTCGCTGCCTGGAATGATGAGCCCCCTCTTCATTGCTGCAGCCATTTTCTCACGTCGCTGTGTTACTCTGCTTGTTGATGACATGGGCGCACTCCTCCCCTCCTCAGCCGGCTGAAAAGATTGACCTTGCAGCGGACAACCACGTGGGCGATATTTTCGTCAACCCGGCCTATGAAGGCTTCCACTACGCCACCCCTGCAGATGAAGGTGTGATTCGAGTACACAAAGAAGCGAGTGTGCTAGCCTTGGCGCATGTCCGCTTGTGCATGCTGACTTTGTGTAGTGAACACGAACATTGTGGGCGTGTTGCTTCAGACATCGCCTCTTGCTTGCATGCGAGCTTGCAAGCACCCACCTATGGATTCAAATGGCGTCAATCTCTGAACTACATTCGCGCTTCCAAGTGCCTCGTCTCAATTCTCCTGTGCGAAGTTCACTGTCGCTCTTGCTCGATTACTGGTGCATTGCCTTTGCCAGATCAAACTCGAACGGTCGCTCCTGCGACCCTGCACGCATGGGACGAAACATCCTACAACACAACAGGCGTTGAACGTCCAATCTACGCCCAGGTCGCGCGCGAATCTGAAATGCCCGATGGGATGCGCACATACCAGTCACCCGTGCTGGCCAATGTGTCCGAAACCTGAGGAGGTTGGGAAAGAAGAACGGAAAGCGAGAACCATCGTTGATGTCTTGTTGTTGTGGTGGTGTTAATGATACCGCCCACAGTTGCTCTTTGGCTCGCCACGAGAGTTTTGTTTGTGCCCATTCTTCAACTGGCGTTCTTCTTTGCGCCTTTGTGAGCCCATGTGTTGGGTTGGTGTCACGACATCTTACATAGTGACATTGTTTGCTCTGTCGCTGTGCTGCTCTGAGCGTCGTTACTTCTGCACAGCTCCGACGAGGAGAAGAGAGGGGATGCTATGTGCAACGTAATCATTCCACTCCGTGTTTTGCCCCTTGTTCTCCAATGAATGTGATTACTCCGTAGTAAACGACGCCCATACACGTATGTCTTCGGCGAGCACGAATACACTTGTCCAGTTGTCACAATTCACATCAACTGGCAGTGACGCGACCATGACGCAACAACGTGTATTCACACACACACACACACACACACACACACACACACACACACACACACACACACACACACACACACACACACACACACACACACACACGAGTTGTGCACTCGCGAGACTTGCTTTCAGCGGTTGCTCATTTCTTTACTTGATTGTGGAGGACGGCACTGTTTCTATCACGTCTTACCAGACGAACACCAAGACCGAACATTGCCAGCACAGTTATCAAGCCCAACGCTCACACTGGATTGAGCGCATCACACCAGCTGCGGTGCGGTGAAGGCACCCGCAATATCAAAAGAGTGGTCCTGGAGGGATGCGTACATCCGATATGCACCTACCATCACAGAGGGAGAGGCAAAATGTAGAATGTAATGGGGAGGCATGAGGCGACGATAGCTGTGCACACCGTCAGGGAAAGCACACACACACACACACACACACACACACACACACACACACACACACACACACACACACACACACACACACACAC